GGGGGGGGGGGGTCTGGTACACGTGGATATAAATGAGAATTTTCGCATTAGAGCAATTTCTTCTTTGGTTCGGTAACTTTTCTCTAATTGTCCCCTTAAGTCCCAAAATAGATGAAAATCTAATGGCGATCTTTCCAAGTTCCAATTTCCATCCCGTAGAGTCCGTTTGGGCTCGGTAGACAATTGCTTGACTATGTCCATTTTATTTCAGTTACAATTCATTGGAGCAGTAAAATAATTTAAGTTAGGTGAAATATATAAACGGTCCCTTTAAGTTATCCATAACAGTAAGATAAACCCTTAGGCCTCAACTGAACCCTTTATCATTTAGACATTTCAAGTGTCCATAAACCAGATCAAATAAACACATATTGCTGATGTGGTATGCGTGTGTTTACTAATAAAATTTTAAGCGCGTGAATTATTTTTTCAGCCTAATTTTTTTTTCTTTGAAAAAACTTAAGAATTGGGCGTATCTTAGCCTCTCTTCTTAGCTTGACTAACCCACGTCAATGTCACCGTGAAACCACCACTAAAACCAGCCACTAAAACTCCAACCAAGCTACGGAAAATCGCCAGAAACTGCCCCTTTTATCACAAAATTACACAGCCCATAACCTCCAGAGCTCCGCCTAATTCCTTCAAGCCAAAATTAGTTCCAAACCCAACTGATAAGCAACAAAAATTACAGCAACAATAGTTGCGAAAACCCACCAAATCTCTACTAGATAAACGTCCTCTTTCCTCCAACATCACCTTCATTCCAATAAAAACACACAAGCAACAATCAATTATTTGAATTAGCCGGTAATTTTATACCAAAAATAATTAGAGAAATAAAAGTGATATAAGCCCAAACTTGTAGTCAAGAAACGATGAAGAGAGAAGAGTGAAGATTCCAGTAGAATCATTTCGTTCAAATTTACTTGGAGATTAATTTTTCGGCGAGAGTCGCATGAGAGGAGCTTTTTCCGACGAGTTTCGTCACTGCTCACTTAGTGGGAAGGGGAAGGAGCCTGATAATAATGACTTATGTTCAATTTGTTAAATGGAGGGTAGATTTGAAGGAAGAAGGAGGGGGGGAGGGGTGGCGCTGGTAAGCGGAAGCAGAAGATAAGTGTAAGCATGCATATTTTATATATATAAGCGGATAAGTTAGGGGCAGAGCCAGAATTTTCATTGGAGGTGTAAAAATATAAATAATTAGATACATCAAAAAGTCAATGGAAGTCAACGTATAATAAATATACATAAAATAAAAAATTTATCTAGCAATATAGTATAATTTTTCGGCGAAGAGGTATCGCTTGACATCCCTTTGTTTAATGTGGCTCAGCCACTGGGATAAGCCCCTTGATTTTTTGTTGCGTTGGTTTTGTAAAAAAGTTAGGAAAAAGGCTTTTTTTTATTCCTTAAATGCATTTTCATTTTTTATTTATTATATGTGTCAAATTTCTATTACAAATTACACGTGTCGTTCATTCATTGGCTCATTTGACACGTCATTAGCGAGTGTAACTCACGCATATGATCTGTTGCACTCGGGTATTTATTTAATCTGGTTAGTGGACACTTGAAGTGTCTAAATGGTAAAGGGTTCAGTTGAGATGTTTGTCTAGTCGTTATGGACAACTTAAAAGAACAGTTTATGTATTTCGCCTTTAAGTTATAAACGTTGATAATATAAAATTTTAACTCGTAATAATACATTAATTGATTATGATGGGTTGTTATATAATTACTTTTTAAATATGTAGACTCTACATTATTAATGGGTAGAATAGCCTTATAGACATTTGTACTTGTTCGATTTTGACATTCCGGTTCTTTTACTTCACAAAATTTCATTCAAACATTTATAGTTATTCAAAAGTAATATTTTAAACCCCTCTAATCGTTGATCATGTCTATGTGGCAACTTGACAGTATTTCACACGTCGAAAGAGCGTGAAGGTAAATATCTAAGCAAGAAATAATTAAAATAAGAAAAGATAAAAAGAAAAAGAAAAGACAAAAATTAAATAAATTTAAGAAAAAGGTCAAGAGGGTTTCTCTTTCACGTTCCTCTCTCCCCTCCGTTCCTCCACTCCCTCCCCCCCCCCCCCCCAAACCCCNTTGAGCAACTTTTAATGGCTCTCTTCTTCTTCTTCTCCATTTTTGATTTTTTTTTTATATGTATACATTAAAAAAGGGGAAAAGGACAGAGTTTTGGCTGGAAATCGTTTGATGCCCTCTGGGTTGAGATTGTTTGCGATTTGTTGCCAATGCTGCCATATCTTCGTTTTTTTGAAGTTACCATCTCGATCTGTGTTTAAATTATGTTTAAAACATTATGTTGTCTCCACTTTAAGCTTGCCGAAGCTCATCGTGGGTGAGCTGTTCTTGTGGGCTCACTGTTTCGCCATCGATGGCGTTAAACTATTTCGTGACTGCTCTCCCAATCGACGAGGTACAATACAATCTAAGAGTCACTGTCGGCTAAAATTCCGGCCAAAGTTCCGGATCTAAAACCCATATGATAGTAAAAACATAAAATAAAAGACAATGGGGTAAGGATAAGAGGAAACGGGAAAAGCATCTATCGGAATATATGATTTTTATTTTTGGTTTTAATTATTTTTAATCTACCATGTGAGTTATGACATGACATTTACACATTGTTAATTTGTTATTTTTTGACGTGGCAGTCAATCGTGAAAGAGATTGTATTACATGCACTGACATTACATGCACTGACATCCTCATGTCATAAGCGTTTATTATACACGGTTTGAAAGAGTGTAAGTGTTTAATTTTGGAGACCGACATAATAAAGTATAAATATCATTTACGCTATTCTACCTTATTAATGTATAAAACTTATATTCTATCATAAATGATATCAATGTTGACGGTTAAATATAAGTACGATTATTTATCGCCGCACTCCGTCCCAAAAGAATATTAGTTAGTAGCTTATTAACAATATCGATGTGTTTCATTGATATGTAGTGAGATTAGAAAAAAGAGAAAGAAGAAACGAAAAACAATAATAAAAGGGTGCAATACAATTATAATCGAGCCACATTATTAATATCTTTTCGATAAAAGAATATGATTTTTTTTTATATCCAAGACATTATTTATTTTTTCTTTTTTCGTTAACTTATGGTAAAGTCAATTTAATATATCTTTAACATTAGAAGTCCTAAATTAATCATGTCTTGATCATTAATTTTCGGCCGTGTACATATTCATGCTTGGCTAGATGGACCAATGTAGCATTGTAAAAAGACTTCGAAAGTGAAAAATATTAATACTACAAATAATTTAGGGGCAATTTGAATTACATATAAAGTTGTGTGGTGAAAGTATAAATTTCCAACTAAAAGCTTTCTCCATCCGCCACACTCAACTGAATAGGAGTACTAATCCAAGTTCCGTGTCCAGCAAATAAAAAACGATTCTTTTTACACAACAGAGAAGAAGCATAGAGTGAGAGTGAGAGTAGATTAGGAGGGGAAAGCACAAACGAGGACGATGCTAGAAAGGGTGCTCTCTTCGCGGAGGGCGGCGCCGGTCAGTGACGACGGCGATGATGACGGCGACGAATCCAAAACTCGGAAGCACATTTCCATACCGACGAGGATCACAAATTACTTGATTCGAACTGGCCACCTCTGGCCATGCCTTCTCATAGGGCTCGTAATCATTGTGCTCACTTCTTTCGTTTATCACACTCGTGATTTAGTGTGTATCTCAGCTTCCTCTTCCGATCACATTTCTCGTTTGCGATTCTTCGGCTTTGATGGCCTTGAAACCGACTTCGGATCTCTCGGCGTCCCCTGGTGTAAGTTCATTACGAATCTCGGAATTTCCTTTCGTTTAATGTGTTATTTCTTATGCGATTTAGTGTCCGTACAGATCTGGTTTATTTTGCACATCTAGTTTCAAGGCGTTTTTTTTATAGTAATTGAAAATGCTATCCACATGTCGAGAAAATGTACATCTAGTTTCAAGACCAAGACTTTTTTCTTTAATTTGTATATATCCTTCCTTCACTTTAGTGTTTAATTGATAGATGATCATTTTAAAGCTTCAGAGCGTGGCGTAAACTGGATTAACTATAGCCTCCTTAACTTTAGTGTTCTTTAATAGGTGATACCTATAAGCTCCATAGTGTGTGGCATAAACTGTCCTTATCCAAAAAAAAAGTGTGTGGCATAAACTGAATGAATTCCCTTTCTAGTTGCTTCAGTCTGATATATTAAATAACAGTGGAGCAGGAACGTTATTATGATCGTGAAGTTGTTTTATGAAATCATGTCTTAAGCTGCACTTCAGATCTATGGTCAACAAATTAAACATCTCTATGCACGTGTATTTTTGTGCATGTTATTTCATTTACCTAGATGTCATTTTCCTTTTCTGGGTAATGGAGATGTTGAATGAAAATCAGTTATAGGATAACTATTTAATTATCTTCAGTTCAATCTTTGAGAAATTAAGTCCACATGATCCAGTGCACCTTTCATTAATTTTAACTCTTGTCAAAAGGCAGATCGAAACATGGAAAAACTGTTGAATGGACCACAAAGGATTTAATCAAAGGTTTGGAAGAGTTTGTGCCCATATACGAGACACGACCTATCAAGAATAACATGTATGGGATGGGTTTTGACCACAGTTTTGGGCTCTGGTTTATGACTCGCTGGTTAAAACCAGAGTTGATGATTGAGAGTGGCGCGTTCAAGGGACACTCAACTTGGGTTTTGCGACAAGCAATGCCAGATACACCAATCATCTCGCTTACACCCCGTCATCCTGAGAAGTATCTCAAGAAAGGACCTGCTTATGTTGATGGGAACTGCACATACTTCGCTGGAAAAGACTTTGTTGATTTTGGAAGCATTGATTGGGGAAAAGTTATGAAGAAACATGGAGTCAAGAATCGTAGCCAGGTTGTTGTCTTTTTTGATGACCATCAAAATGAATTGAAAAGGTAATATAAACTTTTGTAACATGGAAGTTCTCTACTGTGTGTTTCTTAGAAAAGTAATCCCTTCCATCACTGTTTTTGTCTAATTATCTATTTCATTGCTGCATCCAGTGATTCTATGGCTTTGCCGATTGCCACTTGTTCTGCAAATTTTGACTCATTCTCTGTTTTGTTTGTATTTGAACTTTGATCGACAGACTGAAGCAAGCACTTAAAGCTGGGTTCAGGCATCTTGTGTTTGAGGACAATTATGATACTGGTACTGGAGACCACTATTCCTTCAGGCAGATGTGTGATCAATTTTATATAAGAGGTATATTTTCATTTCAACTTTAAATAATTATTTTTCCTCTCTCAAGGCCAAAGCAGCCATTCTTTTATCTAACTCTCTGTTTCTCCCCTTTTGGAGTTGATTCAACTTTTATGTATTGGGAAGTCTTCCTTGACATTTGTTGACCTTGTACGTGAAAGAACAAATACATTGAAATTATATGCTACCTTGTTAAAAGAAAAATACATTGAATATGTACCGAAGTAGTTTTCGCCCATGAAACTCTGACTGGAGTATTATAACTGATGTTTCTGTCAAAAGAAATCTGCAATGCAAAGTTTAAGGATGATGATAAATTTTAGAGGATACGAAATTTGTCAACAACTAAGTGATTCCTACCAGAAAATCCAAAAAAATTAGAATGTCAATTAACTCAGTGATACCAACAAGAGAATTCAAAAGTTAGATTGAATCATGATTATACTGGATATTGAAGTCACATCAAGATTTGTCAAGCGTATCAGACTCAGAGAAGGGAATAGCCATGCTCTTTGTTTTATCTATAATGGAGAGAAGATTGGTAGGGCAAGCAAGATTATGTAGAGTTAGCAGAGAACAGTGCAGCTAGCTCTAGGAAGGAACATAAAAGAATAGAAGGTATGCAATATATTGTCATTTTGGGATAATTCGGCAGCCAAATGGAGCTATCTATGTCTTCTTTTTTTGTTTTTAACTATTTTTGCTGGTTTGTTGACAATGAGACTTGTCTCGCTAAGGAAGATATGAAAACTGTGTTGGTAGTTGATAAAGAACTACCCAAGTAACATATAGTGCCTGCACTCGCAATATGATCCTTCTAACTTTGGTGAATCTTATATTAGGAACAGAGTTGCATGCTCTGTCTTCAAATATCTTTTATCCTGTATCATGGAGTCTTTTGTTTGTTTAGCTGTCTAACCAAGTAAAGTAAAAAATTTAGCCACCTTTTTTTTTGATTTGCACCGGGTGTCCGAGTCTCTAAGAGCCCCGACTAATCCCGGGGGTGCACAGGCCCTCGGCAAGGAGTTTCCGGCAAGTGCACCACGGTTAATTCAGGTTTTACCCAGTCCGATGGCCCTAAGAAATTGTTTGCACTCAGTGAGTTTCGAACTTGAGACCTTGAAAGGGAGCAAACCCCAAGGCTCAAGTCAATTGCCACCGGGCCAACCCCTGAGGGTTAAAAATTTAGTCACCTTTATCTCATGTAGTTATAAAGAATCAGTTGATGTTGATTATGAGTTTGGACAACCAAAGTAAACAAAAGAGAAATATGTAGGAATGGAAAGGAGGAATCTTGACGTAAAGTAAACGATGAATACAAATTCACACTTAACAATTTTAGTGTCAATATATCAAATAGCATTTAGACTGCCTGGAGCATGCTGGTTCACTTTTGGCAAATTTTTCCATTCATGAAATATTTATTGACTTTTATGGCTAGTTCACTTCTTAATACGTGATATACATTTTTCCATTTCATTTCCAGGCGGAGGCCATAGCTGCTTTAAGGACAGTGATGAAGCAAGGATCAGAGGAAGAAGGAAGAAATTCTGGGAGAAAGCTGTTGATATTGAGGAACTTTGCGGTCCTGGTGAAGCTTGGTGGGGTGTGAGAGGGCAAATGCGAGATGATTTTAACCACAGCAATAAGGCCATTTCTTATGCAGAACATTTTAAAAATAGCAGGTTTGTAGAGTCAGTGTTAGATGTTTACTGGGAGCTTCCTCCCGTGGCTGGTCCTTCATTAACTCATCAGACAAGATACGATCCGGCTCGTACATCAGGTCCTATTGTTGAAGATGGCAGGTATGGCTTGTTTCAGAGGCTTGGCTTATCTAGACTGGAGGCATCTGTATTCAATGGTTACACTCAAATGGTCTATCTTCAGGTGTCGCAGGAATGAGATTTTGGTTGCCACTGCATATAAGTTGTAGTTTTGTATTTATACGTGATCTCTCCTTTTTCTTTTTCTGTTCGTTTAGTTATTTGCGGTGTAACTCTTGAGACTCTGTTTCTGTGCTCCCAATACATATACAATCTTTCAGACGTCTGGTCACTCTGATATTTGTGCATTGTCATGTAAGTCCGTTGAGTGAAATTGATGATACCTGTAGATTATGTGCTAAAAGATAGCTTTATGTTCGAATAGTTCTCCTTGCGCTTGCTATTTCCTTGTTGCAAGTATGTTAGAATGAAAGAAAAGAGAATGCACGTAGCAGTCAATTATGTCATGATCTTACTAGACTGTGCGATTGTTTCTCTGGCCTTTCATCCTCACTTGTACATCTGCTGAGGCGGAGAAGTCATTGGCACTTGGGCATTACATAAGGTTCTCTAATGGTGATTCCAGTTGGAAGAGTTAGGGTTTCCTTGACAGATAAGCAATGGATGACAAGGGTCAGATAGTTTCGTAACCATTCAATCCATTAAAGAAAATTTCTGGCACCTTAACCTTTTCAAGCTTCTGGAGCTTAACAGGCCTAAGCAGGAGTGGGTTTTCTTAGGCGTCCAAGGATTGAGTGAGAAGGCAGATCAACGGCGAGGTATTAAGACTTCCTAGCATTCATGGTCCTTTAACAAACTAATTTCAAGCCCAAGCATTGTCCTTTTCTATTTCTTTGACAAAACAGTCAAAAAACACGATGGACAAACGAGAAATTAGGAAAATGGATAGAAAACTCAAGAGTTCAGCCCTGCTATTCCGTTATTCTTCTGACTGTTTGGTGTATCCTCTCACGAAACTCCCAATAACTCCAGCCCTGCTGTTTACATTCTATACATCAGGTAATTGTGATGCTCTTTCCTGATCTGCTATGAACTTTATTCTTAGCTCGAACTAGAAAGTTGAAGATCCATTCGAGGGATAAGACATGAGACAGTATTGCAAGTAACAAGCGCTAACAATTTCCGTAGGGAACACTAAACACTAAACAAAAATCTTGGATATCACCGGTTATATCTTCTTAAACCAGTGCTTTTCCTTTCAGGGAATGCTACACGTCTAGTCTAATTCCAGATACAAAAGAGAGCAGAAAAAGGATAATCATCGACATAGAAACCATTGAATGGTTTTTCAGTCACTAGTTTTTGTTCTTGCACTTGTGTATAGCCCTTGGAGCTGCAAAGCAAGAGAAAGAAAGTCATTCTACACCATCTCCTTAAGATAAGAATTTCTCAATGGTAAGTATAGACATAAAATACAGCATGGACAGGATCACAGTGATAGGACATACCTAGCCCAATTGCCTCTGAGCTTTTCATGATCCGCAATCTCTTGCATGAGTCTATGAACATCCTATCATAACATCCAAATGAAACAATGAATGGATGCAATGCAACAAACAGATCATATCATAGATTCCTAGATCTGGATATTGAATTGAGGATCTAAGACATAGGAGAACAGAAAAATAAACAACAAGGGAGCCCCCATCGGAAGCCATTTAAGAAAAAGTAAATAGAAAACGACTAATCAACAACAGACATAAATAGTTGGTAGATGATTTATCCTTTTTGCACTAACTGCTATGATACATACTAAGCTATTTCCTCCTAATACAAATTGCTTAGGAAATTGCCAGACTCAGTAGTAAACAGATAATCTTGTCTTCTTAAATGTTTGGCAAGAAGATGTGGAGTGTAGTAAGAGGAAAAGAACTTACTCCCAAGGAACATCGCCAACAAGCATCCAATCACCATCTTTGTCTTCATAAGTCAGAACATACTCAGAACCATTGAGAAGATCCATCAAGTGACTTTCACTAAGTTCCTCTTGCCCCGGAAGTCCATCGCTGGCGCACTGCCCTGAATATACACAGTTATGTAGTATCAGTTAGACACCTGTATGATCTCAAGACTCAAGCCAAAATACTAGCAAAACAAACGCTCCCAACAAAATTACTTCTCAGAGTGCTGGTCCTACGAAGGGGAATAACGAGAAAGACTGTTAGATTTATACCGTGCTATTTGGTGCCTGATTAAAACTTTACGGATGAAAATGTAAAGGGTGTAGCAATGATTCAAGATGGGAATGTGAAAAATGACTATACTTTTATCAATTTCTCCATCAAAGGGGTCTATTCACACACACACACACATGTATTTATCAACTGTTCTTGTTCTTGTATGAATATTACAATTACTACCATGCTTCAATCCCAAGAAAGTGGGTCGGCTATATGAATCCGCACTATCTGAAACTATGATTCAAGGATGCGGATGTGAAAAATGACTATACTTTACCAATTACCCCATCAAAGGGGTCTATTTTTTCTAAATACTTTTATCAGTTATTCTTGTTCTTGTCTAGGGCAGCCCGGTGCATTAAGTTCCCGCTATGTGCGAGGTCCGGGCAAGGGCCGGACCGCAAGTGTCTATTGTAAGCAGTCTTACCCTGCATTCCTGCCAGAGGCTGTTTCCACAGCCCGAACCCGTGACCTCCTGGTCACATGCAGGTAACTTTACCGGTTGGGCCAAGGCTCCCCTTCATTCTTGCTCTTTCTTCTAAAAGCTTGCATGGCTATTGTTGTTTGAATGCTGTAAAGACAGAAATTATACCAATACTAAAGCAGCTGAACATCTTTTCAAGTGCTGATGAGAGCTCCCCATAGTCGCTGTAAGTTTTGATATCAACCTTTCTCAAATATGGAGCACCATCCATTCTAACTTTCACATAAAGGCAACCTGAACCTGATTTTCCTTCAGCATCATTCTTTTTGGTGGCCAGTGTATTTTTGCGGAATGATCTAATTGGTGGCCATCCTACTACTTGTGCCCTAATTCACAACATAAAAAAAAATCCACTTTAACCATAATTGCATAAATTTGTACCCATATATAACAAAAAACACCCAAAAAAAAGTTAAGTGACCACAGTAAAATTAACTCTAGAATTCAAGAAACAGATAAAGTTACTAACTTTGAAGTCTGAGGAGCACTATTTTCAATTGATGGAGTTGGCTTTGAGCTTCCATTACTTCCTTTGGGGGAAAATAACAAGTCTTCTTTTCTCCAATCAGTTTCTGATCTGCAATTAATGGACAAATCCCATTTTCCAGAAGCATCAATGGCATCAGAAAAACCCCTTTTGGTTCTTGATATAAAATTGTTTGAAGGGTTAAGACCCGTATTTGTTTCCTCAGTACCCGGTAACCCAAGTCTTAGCTCAGTCTCCTTAAGGTTAAGAACATCACTATTTTTATCAGAATTTCTTTCCATTAAAGAAGCTTCTGATAAACCTATATAATCATGTTCGAATGGTATAGACATAGAAGCTGAAATAGAAGTTGAAATCCCAAAAACAAGAATTCAAGAAACTATGGATGAGATGAAAAAGAAGGCAATTTTTAAGTGAGTAAAAGATGAGATATTGGCTTTGTTGGTGCAGGAAAGAAAATTTCTTTGGTCCTTTTGTAGCCTTTACTTTTGGAATAAATGAACTGTGAGTGTAACAGTGGAAAAACTATTGCAGATGCTTATCCAAAGGTGTTTTGTGAAATAGTAGCTTTGTTTTAGTGCAATTGTTTAAAGCAAATAGTGATTAGCTAGTGCTAATTTGTTTTTATTTGGAAATTTGGAATCTTTGGTCGGAAAAAAGTAATAATGATGATTTCAACTTGTCCACTTATAACCAACTCTGTTACACAAATTCCGTTCACAACTACTACTGTTTCATGACAACACAGTATGTAAGTAGTAGCATTGTTTGATGAAATACCACTGCCTCCTTCAATTGGTGTGATTTAAAATTGGTGTTTACACCTAAAGAATACTCCACAAGTGAAGTCTGGAATTTTTTTTGTCGGTACATTGACCAAAAAAATTATATATTTTTTAAATACTATCAGTATATGTTAATCTAACGTTTTCTTGTTATCAATTTCACTTTTTTATGAATACTTGTGGTACAGTTATCTTTTATATGAGGTAATAGTGTAAAATAAATTGACACACAACTTAAATAAAAAGACATGCGTAATTTAACTCACTTCTTTATTCACGAGTCAATTACTCAAATGGTCACTTAACTATTCCAAATTATCTCCTAAAGTCACTTTACTTTTGTTTGTAACACCAAACTCACTGAACTATGCCTATTGCACTCAAAAGGTCACTGAACTAGATTTTTCAAATTTCGGATTGCCAAATACCTATTTTACCCTCTAAATTATAAATATTTATCTTCTTTTTATTTTTTTCAAACTTTTTAATATTATGATTTTCCCCTTTTAATTTATATTATTGACTTATCTATAAATAAATAAATAAATATTAATTATAAATTAAAAAAATAGAAAATATTTAAGCATATATAATGCTGGAATAACAAAATAATGAGCATATTAGAATAATTTGTTAGTAAAAATAATTTTAGTATTAACAACAAAAAATCAAAATTTGTTTACACAATTCAGAATGAAAGAAAATAAAAGTTGTAAAATATATATTCCATGCACGTAATATGAAAATAATTATTTAAGTAAAGGTATTTTTATAATATACATTATATATTCTTAAAAATTATGCTCAATTATATTATTATGTTTCTACAACCTTTCCGATGACACAAAGTTATATCACCGGAAAGCAGGGGGACTATCTGTATATGGTAAAATATGCTATGTTAAGTCGTACATGAAATATATATAATATAATTTAGCATAATTTTCAAGAATACATAATGTGTATTATAAAAATACTTTTATTTAATTTATTTTTATATATTACTTGCATAGGATATATATTTTACAACCTTTATTTTCTTTCATTCTGAATTGTGTAAATAAAATTTTGAACTTTTGTTGTTAATACTAAAATTATTATTACAAATAAATTATTCTAATTAATTCTTTTACTATGCTCATTATTTTGTTATTCCAACATTATAGATGCTTAAATACTTTTTATTTTTTTAATTTATAAATAATATTTATTTATTCTATAGGTAAGTCCATAATATAAATTAAAAAGAGAAAATTATAATATTAAATTTTTTAAAAAAAATAAAAGAAGATAAATATTTATAATTTAGAGGGTAAAATAGGTATTTGGCAATCCAAAATTTGAAAAATCTAGTTGAATGACCTTCTGAGTTCAATAGGCATAATTCAGTGACTTTGTTGTTACAAACGAAAGAAAAGTCATTTT